TTTTACAACAATATTAGCAACATTTAATTAGTTACAGTCAGAAAGTGAGGAACGCCTGGTGAAGGTAAAACTAAGCCATTGTTAGAACTGCAGTAGTTATTATAATATTATTATTAAGTAGTACCTGTACATGTATTTGGTCTGGGAAAAAGTGCTATCTGTGCATCTCTAAGCAGGATGTTGAATGTTACAGGGAGGTGATAAATCAAATGCAGATTCACTGTTCTGGTTGTATAAATCCCATTTTAATGCATATAGTGGCGTGTTCTTTATTGATTAACTGATTAATCGACCAATCGTTGTAGGTCTACACATAGGAAGTAATACAGTGATAGTGATACAGTACATTCGATTTGCAAGTTCATTAAGGTTTGTGAATTTGCATCATCTAATTTCTGTATATTCAAGGAAACCTTTTTCTCCTTGCAGTCCACTTTTCTTTCTCCAAAACCAGTAGATAAATCAGTGACAATGAGCGCATCCAGATGAACAGAGGTCAGGGTATTTTACAGTGTTCCAGTAGACTTGAATGTGTTGTCATTGAATACATTCAAGTGACAGAAGTTGTCTTCTAGCACTGACAACCAGCAGATCAGCACCCTCAGAAATGGCCTTATTTTCATTATCTGAGCAGTTTTGAAGAACTTGAAGAATTTGTTTAGAAGCTGCAACGGTTTGTTGATGTCTGTTCTCTGGCTGTTTCCTCTGGCTCCAGTCTACCTGCAGACTTCTCCTCAGACCTGCCACGAGAGGTTAAAGAAGAGATGCAGAGAGGAAGAGAAAGTCATTCCATTGGTGAGGATGCAAGCTCAGACATATGGTTTCACTAATCACTACACAGAACTAACACTTGAAGGGAAATGAATGGGCTCCTAGAGAGTTGTGAAGATTAACACCAATGTGCCATTTCAAATGAGACCTCTATCCTCTGTGTGTGTGTCCACCAGGAGTATCTGGAGGCCATCCATCAGCTGTATGAGGACTGGCTCATCAAGCGTACCTCCACCCCTCTCCCTGCTCCTGTTCTAGTGAGTCTTCGCTTTGGTTTGTGTGGACATACACACAGATGAGCCTTCTCCACTGACTCGTGTCATGCCGAGCTGTGACCAAGAAGCACTTCCACTTTATTCCCCCTTTCTTCGTGTGAGGTTGCCCCTCTAGGTGTCTAATGGTGCGTTCGTTTTGTCTCGGTAATCGCGGCTTGCAACTCGGGAGTGAGCGGTCAATCGTCTCGGGAAACAGCGAGTAACGCGGTTTTTGCGTTCTCGTTTGCACACAACACCGACGAGTCGGAGAAAGAACGTTCCAGTAAATGTCGCTATAGTTATAAGTGATTATCTGGTTTCAACCGGCTTGCATCCACCCGCCGACTTTCACCATGTGTCACATGTCCACATTACACTATTACAACATCATGATTACCAGTGTTGATTGTGCAATGCTCTGTTTTGAAGTAACGTTAGTTATCGTTAAGATAATGCTCAAACTCGGCAATTGTTGGTCACTAGCAACATGGACCGCGCTCTCTAGCCATTTTCAGCTGCAACAAGGCTACAAACAATACTAACACGGGCGTATTCACACACTATAATACCCAGACTGTAAATCGACATGCCTCTATAGGTAACAGTATCAACCACGTGGCTATGTGAAACGACTTGCTTCATTTGGTTACTAACAAAGCCAAGTTGCTTAAAATAAGTAGAAAACCACAATGTTCTACGTACGTGCTGATACTGGGAGCTAGCCGATCTTTGGGTACCTGAACTCGGGGTCCTCTGGTAAGTCCGACTTCCACGATCGTTTTACTTCCGACCGCTCGGGAGCGTTCTTCATTTGCAACTTCCGTCCGTAACATCGGGAAACCGACTCCAAACGGAAATCGCGTTTTCGTTGGAACAACATCCGAACGGCGGCACTAACCCCATTCACGCACATCGAATCCCTTTCAGCCTAGCTCACACTTCATTGGTCAAACTAAATTATCGTAACAGAGCCAAGGGCATGCAGCTACAAAGTTTCTCACATCAAATGTCTCACTAACCTCCGAACATAACATTCAAAAGCTTAACGAATGAGAACAATGAATGTGAGAATTAGTAGCTATGCTTGCTTCAGTATCGCTTTACATTGACCAACAGTAAGCTAGCTAGCCAGCTAGTTCACTGCTACGTTCTTACACATCCTACCTGTGCCTAAACAGCAAATCAGATAGAGAGCTGACTGGCCAGAAGGTGCCCGCCCAGCCCCTGTTGTGAAGTGGTTCCTGGTTTTAGACAGCAAATTTTAGTGCCCGTCGCTGGCTTTCCTTTGGCTCGTCCAAACTGCAACAGAACGGTTTGGGCTTACGCACCGGGGCCCGCCCAAACCCAGAGCCTCAGATGCAAACTTGCGCCAACCTCCAACTCTAAACTTAGAACAATAGACATTTTGTGTGTGTGTGTCGTGTGTGTGTGTGGCTGTGTGTGTCGTTGTGTGTCTGCTGTGTGGCTGTGTGTGTGTGCTGTGTGTCGTGCTGTCGGGTGTCGGTGTGCTGTGGTAGGGATCCACATCCTGTCTGACCCATCCCTTGACTCCCAGAAGATGCTGCATCACTATGAAGAAAACCGTGACAAAATCCTTGCAGCTAGCTACCTCTGATCGAGATGGAGATGGAGATCCTAGAAAGCTGTTTACAAAACCATTGTTATATCATTTATTTGTTACATTTACTCAAGGTTTTTCATGACCAATGGGAGCTTCTGATTTTAACTTTTTAGCAATTTGACAACTCATCTACATGGGATGACTGTACTCAACTACACTTCAGCTAGTGTGTGCTCATAAGGTGGTAATGCTCGTATTTAGTGGCTTTCAATTACAAAATGTCCTTATTTAAAATGTGTGTTAAAGTTTTCTTAACCATCGGTTGGACCCTCAGCTTTTCTTTGAAACAGTCTTTTAAAGGATGTTGAAAAACCTCCCAAGTGTCAAAGATTTTTCTTAGAGCTTCTCAGATTGTGGGGTTTAGCGGATTCATTCTACACTGTAATTTTTTGCCCAGTTATTTATCATTTTCCTCTTTATTTTACCATGTAATGTAATGCACTTGAACTCCTTTTAAAATATGTTTGGATTTTTAATCTCAGTGAGATGTGGTCAGTGATAAAGGATTGCAGTGGTTCACAAAGGGCACCTCAGGTACACGAGTGCTTGATCTGTAAAGTGGCCACATACATATAATGTATACGTAATATGTAAACGTACTAATGACTTGACTTTGGGACCTGATGAAAACGTGTTGAAATGTTTCTCTGTAAATCCTTTTAATGAAGGGACCTATGTTCATTGACATGTTTTGCCATATTAAATTCTGTAATGCTAATTTAGATTTTGTGTTTTCTCCTTTTTGTTGGTTAAAGGAGTTGGTAAGGAAGAAAATATCATTAATTATTTGAATGAGGGGCCATGAGATCAGTATCTGAAAAGAGAGGCCTGCACAATAACTCTGACCTTTGATTATTGACCTAATGAAGGTCTGACTGGGATTGAAATATTGTCCATTTAGATAAAAGTGTACTTTGGAGTGACTGTGCCGGCCTTCCCATAGATGCTGATTTCCATTAAAATTGCTTCTAAACATGCTGCGCATACAGTATAACTACGTTCCTTCCCATGAGATCAGCTTGACATATTAATACATATACACACACACACACACTACTGCGTATCTTCCCCTGCAGTGCAGCATTTTAATCAGTAGGTAATTGTTCCATTTTTCTACATGCATGACATAAGTGTAGAGATGGGACGATACTTGATATATTGGTAAAAAAACACTCATGAATTTCCAATATGATAATTGAAAATCTTGAGCATTGTTAATATCTTTACATATATCATATATATACCATATATCATTTGACTCCAGCATACAGTCTATTGATTTCCTCATTATTTTTGAACAAGGGGACAAAGGAATGCTTGTTTTGCCGTTGCCATAGTTTCTCCTACACTTCACAGCCTGTTCTCAGTCCCAGGTTGTCAAATACAGACACGAGTGGTGTTCAGTTAGTTGCAATCTACAGCCTACACACTGGTCCTTTAAATATTTATTCGTGTTGTTTAAACAGTTTGACTTAAATATCATTCAAACAGAAATCTACACACACTGTGCGTACTGTCATCGCTGTCTTAAAGATTAATGTAACAGGTGGCATACATGAGGTATCTCAGTTACAGTGTACACTGTAATAACTGCAACATCCATCATGTAGGTTTAATATACTTTAAATAATTGTTATCTAGTTTATTTTTTATTTTAAAAAATATCATTATACTCTACTTAAAATGTATCAATATATATATACAATATATTTTAAATAAAACTAACACTATTTATTTGAGTAGTTGTGTGTGATTTTTAAGTTCAACATAATGGGGGCACCCGGATAGCTCACCTGGTAGAGCCAGTGCCTCATGTACCAATGCTGAGTTCTTGCTGCGGAGGCCTGGGGCTCAAATCTGACCTGTGCACCTTTGCTGCGTCATCCCCTCTCTCTTCAGCTGTCACTGTCAATTAAAGGCAATAAAAGCCCAAAATGTTTTTTTTTAAAGTTCAACAATTAATTCTTCTTTCTTTACCAAGAAAATTAAGCTAATCTAACAAAGTAATTAGTTTACTTGATTTTACTGGGTTTATGTTAAGTAATGTTAGTGTTCATTCTACTTAATAAAGCTTCGAAGCTAACTCTCCATGAGATCAGTATGTCCCTCCTCTTTAACTGAAAACAGAGCTGCTGTTCTTCATACAGGGCCGGAGAAATATTCATGGGGTGTTCAGAGGGTGGAGGGAAACTTTAAGGGGTGACAGAAATATTACTGTCGTCTGATTTAATCACAGACAATCACATATATCAATATTTGCTTGGAAAATGAAGATATTTGAACTCAATCATTATTGTGGCACATAAAAAAAGGTAAAGCACTGAAAAGAAATATCTAAAGGTGGCATCAGAAATCAATACACTGTTTTATTTACAAATCTAGACATTTTTCCAAATACATGTCATACATTTTCATTGACCTTAAGATGATCACTTAGTCTAAAATGTGACCCGATCATAAAATGTATTTCAGTTTCTAACACAGCTACACATTTGAATGAATCTATGAATCTAAATTAATGTTTTAAATTTGACAGCATTTGACAACAAACTGTGGTGGCCAGCCATTCAATCCAATCTTCAGCTTTGTGTTTAATAAAGACAACATTGCCCAAGCAATTAAAAAATAAAAGAGTAAAAAGAAAAACAAACATTAGAAATGCTAAAATCAAGAAAATATTAACTAACAAAAACGTTTGTTTGTGTGTGTTTGACAGAGATTGTGGTGTTGAAGTGTGTGTTGAAGTTGTTGTATGTGTGAGTGTGTGTGAGTGTTATGCTAGCAACATATAATCACTCAATTATTTACAGATTTACAAACTACATGAACAAAAGAGCAATAATTCAATGAAAAAAAATAATAATATTGTAATTATAATATTAATTTAAAATGAACAATTAAAAAGAAATCAACAGAGAGTTGTGTTTCTCAGCTTCCACTGGTTGTCCTCAGGTCATAGCAGGAGTATAATCAATACATTTTGCAGCACAAATTACATTTGGGCATTTCCCCAATTAAATATGGCAGTTTCTGCCACCCCTCTGGAGCCACCCGTCTCCATGAAAGGAGAAAATTAGTCAGTTCTACGGGGTTGAGAGTTGGATTCACTCCAGATGGAGTCAACATGATACTGCGCTGACCGAAACCTCACACAGTATCTGTCTGACTGGAACAACCTGTCCATGGGGAGGTTTCAAATAATGAAAGTGGGGTTGATCATGCTTTAAGTTCCCCTTCTTTTTCATCCTGTGACTCATGATGGTATATAAAGATGAGTTAATAAACAACAACAACAACAACAACAACAACAACAAAACTAGCTGTAAATAATCTACACTAAGGCCGAAATCATGAGAGAAAAACAAGTTTGATGAGCATGTGAGGATGTAAGAAGGCAGTGTGTTGATGACGTGAGAGAAAATGTTGGTATTTTTGATGAAGCAGCTTGGCTTCCTTTACTATTTCCTGAGCTCTCAGTTAGAGCAGTATGTTTATCACTTAAAAAAAACACAAAAAATGTACTTTCCCAGAGTCAGAAACTAATAAATGCCTTAGGACAAACCTTTTTTCATGTATTTGATGTCTGAAGTCATGTCAAACAGCAATATTGGGCTATGTGGGCTCAACTGTTGAGTGTCTATGGGATTAAATAACATCGTGATCCATAGGCATTAAGTAAACTAATCAGTCCCTCCAGGATTTTGTCAGCCAAAAATTCATTGCATGTTGATACATGTTGCAATGTTTTTAGTCCCTTATTTTTTGCAATTAAACTGTGGGAGAAAGTGAAAATTGCAAAAATAGGAGCGATGTTTTGTTGTTTTTGTTTTGTATCATTCATTAAAAATCAGCGGCAGCTTGTGTTCAGACTCAGTAATTTCCATACATGTTAATTAGCCGTAAGAGATGCTACATTATAATATACAGTACTCCTCTGCCAACTCCTCCTCCTCCTCTCCTCTGCCTGTTTCTGCTCTCTCAGAATCTCCTTCCTGCTGCCCTCCTGTACAGCTCTGACAGTCTGCTGTGCTGATGCTCAGCAGAGAGGGCTGACACACAGCGGGCTGCCTCTGCTCCTTCATCACTGCCGGGTCGGACTGAGAGGATCTGGTGCATCTGCCAGCAGCACAGCTCAGCACCGGACCCGTCTCCATCACTGGCCTCCTGAGGTTCTGCTCCTTCGCCTCTCCCTCTGAGCTTGTCTTTCTCTCTTTCTTCCTCCTCTCTTTACTTGTGCTCTCCTCTTCTCTCTTGTTTTCCTCTTTTCTCTTCACCTCCTCTTTGGGCTCCTGCACGTGGAGCTGGCCCATCCTCTCCGCCAGCTCTCTCAGATCCCGCTCCTCTTCCGTGGAGCTTAGCGAGGTATGCTCTGGGCTGACCGGTCTCTTATTTTGTAGGTCTGAGAAAAATCAGAGATTCACATTTATGCACACACTGCAATTCATCTTCAGTATAGCAAGAAACAAATGCTTTATTTTCCAAGACAAAGGCTGTGGTCTTGATCTCAGAATAAGTTAGGTCCTGTTGACAATTCTAATAATCAACCTAATTCTTATGTAGATTGAGTGGTATTATTGAAGATGACCAAATTCATAGTCCCCTGCATCAGCAGAAAGTTAGTGTCAGCTCTGATTAAAGGGGAAATTTGCCAGGTTTTATGTGGATGTCCAATCAGTGTTGATGGTAAATGTAGTCCATTGAAGCAATAGAGAAATAGCTGCAAAATCTGCTCTCTTTTCGGCATTTGACCCGTACAGACTTGTTTGTAGTTGGTGTCGCGGAAGAACTACAGACTGTTACAGCTTGAAGGCAACACTACAGTCTGACAAAGAAATGGTCAAACTGCAGGAATTCATTTGCTTGGCAACACTGTGTAACTAGTTTAGCTTGCTCAGCAGGCGGGTGAACATCAGAAGCTTGCACAATGCATCCTGGTACATGAAGGCACTGCTGGAACGGTGCTGGGAGCAGTAGAACTCAGTCAATATAACCCACAGTGAGAAAGTTATTGCTGTCACAGTGTGTATGTGTGTTACCTGCTGCAGTCTGCTGTTGTGTCCAGGCAGGGGGCTCCGCTGTGGGCTGAGGCTCTCCAGTCTTCAGCCTCTGCTGTGCTGTTGCTCCAGCTCTCAGTGTAATGTGCAAGGAAACACACTGTGGACTGAGCTCATCATTAACTCCGTTTCCATCAGTGTTACTGAAACTACTGCCAGCAGCGTCTCCCGGGGCGGTGGTCCGACCGCCGCTCCTGCCGTTGCAACCAAACACCTCATCGGCTTTGCTGCTGCTGTCACCTTTACTGCAGAGAGCTGTTGCACCAGCTTTGTTGTCTTTAACAGAAGCTCTTGTGGGGAGCTTAGCAGCTTTAGTGCTGGCAGTACTCCTGCTGGAGTTTGCTCGGTGAGTGTTGTCCGATAGCAGACGCCGGCCCCTGATGGCAAGGTCAGGGTAGGTCCTCTGCATCTCCATAATGGACTGGTCTATGCTGCTCTGGTGGGAGCGTCGAGGCTTGGCCGGGGGGTTCCCTGTAAGACCCAAGGCCAAATACAGAGGTACCTGTAGGAATGAAACAGAGCTGAGTTCAGTACCGACTGCAGTTTGTTAAGGCTGCTTATGTTTTCTAACCTGGTTCTTCAGTCCGTCATGTCAAGCTGGGTTTTGGTCTCATCTACTTCGGTGAATTAAGGATTCTTGAAATAATCAAGATCGTTTCGTCTACAGTTCTGAGGACGGACTCTAATAAGTATAGAAGTATGCAATACAAACACAAGAAGGTAACACAGTGAGTCAATGAGGAGAACCCTAATGCAGAGAAAGTCCAGGCTAATTATCCTAGCCCAACAGCTCTGTCAAAGGTGCATTAGATAAGTGTGTTCACTGTCAACTAACATTGCTGTCTCTGCCTGTTACATCTGTCTGGACCAATCGGGAATTGATTGAAATTTGATTACCGGTATTAACCCTTTTTATTACTGAATTGACTACATAAACCCTGGGGTAGTCTGGTGTGAACCTTGATCACAGCTGTGTAGACCTAAAACCTACAGGGGAACAGCAACCATGAAAGAGTTACATCGTTTAAGCTAATCTAGTTCTGACCGTGCATCTCAGGTGAGTGGGGACCATAAAAAAAACTTCCACCAAGCCCATCATGACTAGCTGATTCCATAGTTTTGTACATACATAGACTATGTAAAAAAATCGGAACCAGCCTTAGTCTTTCCTTTCTGAGGCAATTCATTTTGTGAATGACAGATGACCTCTTTATGATCTGCCTCTTTCTCCTCATCGTCCTCCTCCTCCTCCTCCTCCTCCTTCTTCTTCTCCTCTTCCTTTTGCCCTGTTGTTGTCTTCTTTTCTGTTAGTTCCTCCTGTGGTTTTGTAGGCCCCGCTCTCTTCTGGAGAACCTCCAGCCATTCCTGCAGTGTAAGATCACAACTGTCAGATGAAAGCCTTGACATAAGTTTGAGTTACTCTGACCTCTGATCATGTCATATGACTGCTATTAATTTGCATATACATATTAGGTAGTTAGAGGGCATGGAGACACTCTTTTCACTCGTTTCACTATGGCTTTGCTTATGACATGTTTATATTCCAAGTTAAAGGTTATATACATGAGATTTCAAATATTAATACAGCAGCAAACAGCTATTCTCTATGTAATGATATAGTGGAGACATGGTGTCACACTCCCTCTGCCTGTGTTGCTATCACAGCCTCTCTGTGGTTGGTTTCCACAGC